TCGTACCTTTTTGTACTCCTGCCCCCGATAACTGAGAAGCCTGTCTCCGCAAACCCAAGAGCTTCGCCTTGTCCTTCCATAAAACTCAAACCCTAAGCAGGAACCTTCTGCTTTGCCAAGCCGGATGGTTCGATGGAAGTGGCAAGTGTCGCTCTTCCGGCAACCCGGCTGCAGTGGCCTTGCCCAGGACGTCCGCATCCGTGGCAGCTTTCTCGATGTCGGCGGTCAGAACCTGCCGAGCGGCTGAGCTTGTGGCTTCAGGACTGGATGGTTTGAGCACGCGAGGCTTTCGCCGAGCTGAACCCCAAAGGCCCAAAGAACCAAGACGTGTCTTCCAACACCCCAAACCCCTAAACCCCGAGCCTGAAAAACCCAAACCTGACACCCCGAACCCTACACCGCAAACCTGAGGGACCCACCTCGATTTTCGAGTCCGACTCCTCGATGGCCTTGGGTGGTTTCAAGGAGCGAAGAGCATCGGTTGTGTGGCGACTGTGGGACTTCTTCTTGGGGCCCTGGGCTTGGGCAGCTGGCATTGGCATCGTTGGAGTGGATGGGCTAAATGAGTTCGAAATACGAGGGAAACACTTGAACATGAGAACCCCAAACCGACAACGAAGTGTTGCTTACAAGTGCCCCGCTTCACGATCTAACTGCAGCCGCCTTAACAGCCACCATATGCATACTGCAACTTCCTGCAAAACCTCCAAGCCCCTAAACCCTAAGCCCTAAACCCTAAACCCTAAGCACCCCCCCCTGTTGAGGCCGAAGCCTTGGACTTCTCCGCCGCGGTGCCTTTGCACCAGTCGGCGTACCTGCAACCGAACAGATTCATTCCTCCATGGGGGCCAGGAGGGCCAAGGGGGGTTCAGAATTTGGTGTCGGTTTACGCCTTTTTTTTTTGGTGCCCTCCAACTCAGCTTCACTTTGTGCTTTGGGGGGAACCCAAGCTGAACCCTGAAGGGCTGAACTTTGAACCCCACCCCCCCCACGCCTGGAATATTGCACCTTCTCATCCTGGAGCTCTTTCTTGCCCTTGGAGGACATGGCCTTCAGCATCTCGACCACCTTTTGGGAGCTTGAAAACCCCTGAACCCCTAAACCCCTAAACCCCCTAAACCCCCCTAAACCCCTAAGCCCTAAACCCTAAGGCATTGTCGACCCAATGATGGGTTCGGAGGCTTTGGGGGTCTAAGATGGCAAAAACAATGAGCCTACAACGCGGAGACCCTTAACAATTGCACGTGCCCCTCTTTGTTGCTACCTGCTCCCGTTGGTATGGCGAAGGATTTCATTTCGGTGGCAGTGCCGGTCGAAGGCACCTAGTCAGCGGCTATTCTTGAAACCTTGTCCTTGCCTGCATGAAACATTCAATCTTGGCAGAAGATGCGACTTCCGTTTGGACATGACCTCTAGACGAAGTGGCGACCCAACCATGCCCGGTGGAAATGATGATCTTTGGCAAAGAAGGCGATATCATTCTGCGCCGGCACTCTGAATGAGGTGTGGCTCCAGGGATTTCTGCTTGCATGTGCGAGCATGGGGGTGGCCAGAGCCGGAATTGTGCCAGAGTCATGGACCTGTGCTAGGCCGTGGTCGATGGCCTCCTCGCAACAAAGCTTCCGAGTTTGACAAGAGCCGGCCACTGCTCGATGTCCGTGAGTGCTGCGATGCTTCTGAGAGGCCCTGTTGATAGCCTGCAAGGCAAAAGCCATCTGGCGCTGGGGCGGGCTCTGTGCTTGGCAAGGCGTCGGCAAGCGTGCGGTGCGAGTATGTCTGTGAAGGTATACACGTTATGCAGTATGCGGTACGTCCTCCCAACCGGCTCCCGCCGACGAAGACCAGTCAAAGCATCTGCCATCTCTTCGCCGCTTCACGGTATTCAAAAGAAAGGCAAAAGCGAAGCGACGCGAAGCGACGCGCAGCGACTCTGTGCAAAATCCGCCAAAACCCAGTGCACAAAATGATCGCAGCCCTGAGCCGGTGTGTTACAAAAGCGCGCCAACTCTCCAGGCATTTTCAAGGCCTCACCGATCGACGTGCAAAGATACTGCGCAGAAGGCGTGCGAATGCACTGCCGGTTAAAACATCAACCTGAAACCCAAGCTCGCCGGACATGCTTCGCCCTCAGGCCTCTGACATGACCCCTCAATCCTGGCCCTCAGCCCTCGACCCGCGACCCTCAACCCTCGACCCTCAATCCTCAACCCTGAACCCTGAACCCTGAACCCTGAACCCTAAACCCTAAACCCTAAACCCTAAACCCTAAACCCTAAACCCTAAACCCTAAACCCTAAACCCTAAACCCTAAACCCTAAACCCTAAACCCTAAACCCTAAACCCTAAACCCTAAACCCTAAACCCTAAACCCAACGCAGGGCCTCTCGCACAGGCGACTGCAGCTCCTCGGCGGCACCCAGGGCCTCGAATGCATCACGGGTCTGAGGTGATTCTGAGGGCTTTCGAAGGCTTTTGGGGCTTGAGGTCGTCTGTTCAGCTTTAGGCATATCCGCCGAGGCCTCGGGCCGGAGGTGTATAGGTTGTCAGAACAGGCACCCCCCACCCCCAAAGCCCTTGGACCCCTTTTTTGGCCTCAAATGGGTACCCCCTGGGAAACCGGGGCCCGCAAAGCGGACGGTTCGCCAGGACCAGAGGCAGTTGAAGCCCCTCTCAGCAGGGCCCCCCGCCCCTCTTCCCCCCCCCCCTCGCGCCCCGCCCCACCCCCCCCCCCCCCCACCCCCCCCCCCCCCCCCCCCCCCACCCTCCCCCCCCCCCCCCCCCCCTCTCCCCCCCCCCCCTCTCCCCCCCCCCCCCCCCAGCACCTTGTCAGCGCACTGTGTCCTGGGGGAGTGTGCGAGGGGCGCGAGGGTCGCGGAAGAAGAATATAGACGCACAGCACCCTGTCAGCGCACTGTGTCCTGAGCGGGGGGTGCGCGGCGCGGGCGCGGAGGCGCGGCGGAGGGTGCGGAGGGCGGGGGAGAGGGAGCGCACGGGGGTGGGAGGGCGCGGAGGGTGCACGGAGGGCGCGGAGAGCGAGCGCGGAGCGCGCGGCGCGGAGGAGGGCGGGAGGGCGCGGAGGGGCGCGGAGGCTCGCGAGGGCGCGGGGGTGCGGAGGGCGCGGAGGGGCGCGAGGGCGCGGAGGGCGCGGGAGCGCGCGGAGGGCGCGGAGGGCGCGGGAGCGCGCGGAGAGCGCGGAGCGTGCAGAGGGCGGAAAGGCGCGGAGGGCGCACGGCATCCACGTGTCCCCAAATCCCCTGCATGCCCATCAACCGAATGTCACTCTCCCCTTCCGCGCCGAACCCGTCCATGCATGGTCCACACCTCCCCACATCTCCAGCAAAATGTTCCGAACCCCCTTTGCGTCCGACCCTCCAAGGAGCGATCCGATAGAACGCCTTCCGCATTGAAGCGCCAAACGAGAACCCAATTTCAGAATTGGTTTTCGGGAACCAATCCAAGAAAACAAAGAGCACGCGCAGAATAGACGTTAAGCGTACAAGGCAACCCCCCACCCCCCCACCCCCCCCCCCCCCCCACCCCCCCTCCCGCCCCCCCCCCCCCCCCCCCCCCATCCCCCTTTCCATGGTGCAACCCCCCTCTCCCCCCCCCCCCTACCCCCCCCCCCTCCCCCCCCCCCCACCCCCCCCCCCCTCCCCCCCCCACCCTCGCCCCACCCCACCCCCCCCCCCCCCCACCCCACCTCCCCCCTCCCCCCCACCCTGCCGAAGAGTCGCCTTAAACCTTAAGGGGCCTGGCTCAACCCTACGATCACTCCAAGCCGAACCCTAAACCCAAAAAAACCCTCAACCCCAAAGCGTGAACCTTGAGCCCTAAACTAACCCTCAACCCCAAACCCCAAACCATAAACCATAAACCCGGAACCCTCAACCCTCAACCCAACCCTTATTGCTTGGGGTCCAGCGACTTGGGCGCTGCGGAATCACCATGCTCACGCGGATGCGCTGGGCCGGGCCGAGGCGGGTCGCGTAGCGTTAAAATTAGGGTGGCTTAAGGATTCCAAAAATGTGATTGCTTGAATTTGGCAATCGCATTGCGCGTTGCGCATGCCCTGCAACATATCAACCTCCTCCACACGACTTCATCCCACAAGCACCCTCTGCACAAATTAAGCTCCCAAACCCTCACCCCCGACCCGCGGCCCAGGCCACGAAGGCCAGAAGGGCAGCGAGCGCCGCCGGACCTGCGAAAGCTGGGTTGAGGGATGTTGAGGGCCGGCTGCGGGGTTTCGGCGGGGGGGATTTAGAATTTCGGGGCCAAGGCGGCCGTGGTTTGGGGGGGTGGGAATTCAAGGCCCAAGGGCTCAAAGGGGTGCCCCGCAAGACTACACCGGTCCCAAGGCTCGGGCACTTCATTTCTGCGCTGTGGGGCGGAGGAAGGGGAGGCGATCCCCAGCTACGCCCAAATGGCTGCGAGCCGAAAAGGGACAGTCGGGGGAGGCTGCACCCATTGCATGTTTCTAGATCATACAGTCATGATACCAGACACGCAGGATGCATCAATACGCCCAGCATGTGCTCTCAACTTCACCCCGCCAGCACATAATGCAAATGTTGAGGGTCCCTGGGTCTGTGTTGAAGCTGGGTCCTTGCATGTCGTAACATGCCATGGTTCCAGTGGTTCCAGGATTGCAGAGGGCTAAAGGCTCAACCAACCCAGTCGCGGTCCCACTAACATGTCATAACACACCAGCAACAAGAACTGCTTCAGAGCTCCGAAACAGCTTAGAGGGCTCAGGCTTTAGGGTTTAGGGTTTAGGGTCTAGGGTCTAGGGTCTAGGGTCTAGGGTTTAGGGTTTAGGGTTTAGGGTCTAGGGTCTAGGGTTTAGGGTTTAGGGTTTAGGGTTTAGGGTTTAGGGTTTAGGGTTTAGGGTTTAGGGTTTAGGGTTTAGGGTTTAGGGTTTAGGGGTCCGGGATGTTGTGTGTTGGGGCCGAAGATGCCCGAAGTTGCCGAGAATGCTGAGGAAAACCTGTGGCCAAGACGGCACGGGGACGACGAAGTGGACCTTGGAAGTCAAAAGATCAGGGCTTAGGGTTTAGGGTTTAGGGTTTAGGGTTTAGGGTTTAGGGTTTAGATCAGGAACAGCACGAACTGCTGACGCAAGTCCAACAGCCACTTTTTGCACTCCCAGCTACGAGTTCAGCGTCTGAGCGTCTGTTGTGTCGTCTGTTGTGTCCCTGTTTAGGTCTTGAAATGCACGCATATGCACGCACCAGGAGTTTAAAGCCGGGTTTCCAGAGAAAATCTAACACGAAACAACGTGCGCTTTTGTTGGAGTCGGTTGCTGGGATGGCGAGTGAAGACCTGAGCTTCTGCGATCATCGCCGTTGCGATGCGGGCACTCGTGGCGCACAGGGGCCGTTAGGTCGCCGGAGCCCCTGTTCTCGGACTTGCCTCCAGACAGGCCAGCCTGCCTTGGCCTGAACACAACCAGTGGGTCTTCGACATCGCCCAGGATGCAACGAGGTTCAACTCCAGGCCGGAAAGAATGCACAGGTGATAACCGGCATGCGCAGCCAGTGCATGTGACACATATCAAAACGAAGTCAGTGGCAACGTTGTACGCATTCAGGTCCCACAACCCCCATGACCCAAACTTTCGACCTCGCCCGCCAACTTCTTTTCGCTGCATGGGCGACATCTACTTTCTGAAGAGTGCAATAGCATACCCCGTCTTTCTTTACGGGTACTCTGATAGTACCCTGAAGTGCCAAGATATGCCAAGACCCGAGCCCTAGCGCCACCGTCCTCCACCTCGTTCTCGCCGCCACTAATCCTCATGGTGTTCTCAACTTATTTGAATCAGCAGCCGCCCCGGTAGCCATAATGAGACACACACACACACAACACACATGCAGCCGCAGGAGCAGGAGTAGTACGGAGTCAGCAGGCAGAGTGGTAGCCCGACTCCGACACACCAAAAAAAAGATGCGAGAGTATGGCTGTGCTTATTGAAGGCTGTTAGCCGCTTTGCGGCATTACTCATTACTCCTACATGCCGGGCTTGTTCGTGACCCTGAACAGCCATAGCTTATCTCCTCGGATTCGAGGCCTCAGGGAGTTGGAGGGACGTCTGTCTCTCGGTGCTCATTCGAATTGGTACTCTTCACAGGAAAAGCTCAAGAAATATCCAGCAGTTCCACGGGACCCCAGATCATGAAAGATGCAGGGAAAGCTCGAAAAGGAGGCGTCGTTGCAGACATGCCGACAGCACTCTAGACATTATTAAACCCTCAACCCCAACCTGAACATCGTGACCACTTTAAACTTAGTTCGTCACCATGCCATGCATTCCCTCACCACCCAGTCCTTCCGGTTTCCTCCTGCAGCCTGTTCAGCACCTGTCCGCAAGGTCAAATCTCCAGTCTCGGGGGGAGAAGACGAAGAAGAAGACTGAAGGTTCGAAAGATTCACAACTCACAAAGGCACTCGAAGATTGTAGAAAAAGGTGCACGGCGCCCCTCCCGACTGTCCCCTTGCAGAAGAACTGGCTCTGCACGATCCCACACTGTGACGGGAAACCGCGACTGCGACAAGGAACAGGACGGCATCACCGGGTATGCCCCGGCTATGCACGGAAAAGACCGAGGATATGCCGGATATGTGACTGGGTACCCAGCTAAGCAAGCCCTACCCGATTTAGAAAACCACCTGCGAAGAGTCGCTGGGTTTTAAAGCCAGGGGCGGACTCGGGCATAGCAGATATACACCAGAGGCAGTCGCTGAGAAGTTGTGCTCGCTCACACACTCACATTAATCTAGACCCTACAAAAGACCGCACAAGATCTACCAAACACCCTAGGCACAGCTGAGTCCCCTACTACTATTTGCTTAGGAACCCCAAAAAAATAAACTACCAACCCCCTATCTTGCCCTTGTAAGGCAAAATATATGTATATATATATATATATATATATTTATTTATTTTTTTTTTTTTTTTCTATTTTTGGTGGGGGGGAGGGGTTAAGCAAATAGTAGCCGATAGTCCCCTCCAGCCTGCAGGATGCAATTGGCCACGCTATCTGCACTTGGGCCCTTGACGAACAGCTCCTGTGCGCTGTGCGGGGGGGTGGGGGGAAGTGAGGGGCCTGACCCCAACCCTAACCCTAGCCCTAGCCCTAACCCTAACCCTAACCCTAAGAGGGGGGGGGGTGGAAGTGGGGCCGCGAGGTTTTCTGAGGGGGGGTCCTAAACCCCACACCGGGCCCAAAACCGACCGAATATGAGAACCGACAAGGTCCCCAATCCCCACACATTTCCAGGCAGCCCGCACCGCCACAAGCCAAGGGTGCGGTCCTGCAGCTGCGTACCTGGGTAGTACTCGCCTTTGCTGCTCAGGTGCAGCCTGACAGGTTGACTTGAAATTCAGGGGTTCAGGCGATGATGGCATAGGGTAGCAGCATGCAATGCTTGCATGCTCACGAGCTCGCCCATGGCATCGCTCGCCCTCAGATGGAGGCCTGAGGGCCCATCGAGTTTGCTTCCTTGACAGGATTACTTACGGCACAGCTAGTGGCCCCTTGCTCGCATGCTCTTGGTCCTCCTCTTCTACATGAAGCGGAGCAGAGGTATCTCAATACCCTGAATCCCACAAAGGAACTTGTCTCACTAGACCCCTATGAAGCTCCCGAGGCCTGGAGCCCGTCATCTCCGAGATCTGCTTGCTGTGGGAGCCTGAAGATTCGGGTTGAGAAGGTTGTTTGGGGAGTTCGCCCATTTTTTGGCAGGGGCAGGGCTGTTCAAGCTGAAGGAGCTCAGAAGGGCTTAGGCTTCTGAGAATCAGTTTAAGAATAGGGCTGAAGTGGCAAGAGGTCGGGTGGAGGCTCTCCACCGGCTGTTGCCTCTCCGTACAAATGTTTGGACTTTCCTGCTCAGGGCGTATACCCCAAGTGCTCAGAAGAGCTCCGACACTGCAGACCTTAGGTCAGCACCAGATGGCCCGATGATGGCAGCACCTTCCTGCACCGAGCTGCGCCAGTTCCCCACAGCTTTGAGAGATTCACGTCTTAGCGTGCTGGTTAAGTCTCATATACCTAGAGCTTGGACATAAGAAGACGTGGTCGGGACGCTGCGAGCCTTTGGCGACACCAGCATCTTGATGCACATCCCAACAGGCTGCTGCCTGAGCATTGGGTTTCTCTGATACCAAAAACTCCAAGGATGGATGCTCACGGAGTCACCAGTGCTTGCCGCAAACCTGCTGGCCCGAACGCGAAAGACGAGGAACTCCGAACCTCAAGCCTTCATCCACCCGAGCCCAAGTCTTTGAGGAGGAAGACAAGCCCAACCCAAATCCAATCTGCCCGTAAATTCACAAGCCCAAACCTCAAACCTGAACCCTGCCCAAAAACACTGCTGCCCAACGGAACAACTTGAACATCAAATGCCCTTTTAGAGAAATCGCGAGCGAAGGGCCTTACTTGTCCAGTGTGCGCCTATGCAAGTGCGATGTTGATGCTCTCATTGACAGGCTGGACACCACGACACTCAATGGCCGACCTCTCTAACACTCCCCCGGAACCCTAAACCCGAAACCCTAAACCCTAAACCTTAAACCCTAGAACCCTAAACCCTAAAACCGCGGGTGCCCGGCGGTGCTTTTGTGGGAGGCATCCCCATGAGCTCACCCCCTGGCCTCGATAAAACTGGGAGTCGGATTTGGGATGGGGTTGAGGGTTTGGGGTTTAATGTAGGGTTTACGGTTTAGGGTTTAGGGTTTAGGATTTAGGGCTTAGGGTTAGGGTTTGGGGTTTGGGGTTTGGGGTTTAGGGTTTAGGGTTTAGGGCTGCTTGGGTGCCAGGTTCTACGCATTTTTGGGGTTTGGAGAATCTGTGCGGGCTGAAAGGTTGCTATTATGGGTTGCGCCCCCCATGCCCCTCGAAGCAAAACTGTCCCATCATCAAGGTCGTTAAACAGGTAGACTCGACTCTGAACACCACCCAGGCTGTCCAAACCGACGAGGGTATCAAAAAAGACCGCGATGTATAAATGTATGTAAGTCGACCCCTGCTTGGGAGTCCGACCGCTTCATGACTCGGACGGCGTAGGGCGCAAAGGCAACCTAAGGGTGCCGGAGAGGCGCACTTTTCAGGAGCCTATCCTGGGCGAAGGGGGTGGGGCTTGGGATGTGGACTTCAGGACCTGGCCTTCTCAACCCTTAAAATCTCACAGTAAGGGGTTGACCCAAGCCCAGTTAGCTAGTAAAGGGGCATCGGGCTCAAGGTTTTCAAAACGTAGAACTGCAAACAAACCACCAAATAAGCTCTGCATTGCATGATCCCCCACGCACCCCAATCTTCCGTTCTTTTTGTTGGGTCAACTGGACCTGATGACCCCCAAGTAGAAATCGTCCACCTTTCAAACCCTAAACCCTAAACCTTAAACCCAAAACCCTCAACCCTGAACCTGTACGTCCGAGCCGTTCGGAGCACGGCGCGGGCCTCGCGGTGTCGCGGCAAGGGGCGCCCCAAAACCAGCCGTACCCCCCGGCTCTGGCTTTACGGCTGCAGAGTTGTGCCATGGTCTTCAAGTGAAACGGAAAAAAGATAGCAAAAAACTGGAGGGGGGGGGAGCCGATTTTTTGGGGATCTTGTTATTGAAATGCGTCAGGGTGGCGGCATTGCGAGCTCCACAGCAATCCTCAGGGCCGACAACTTAACGATTTCTACTGAGTCCGATTGATGATGAGTTCACAATGCAGATTGCCAAACGGCCTTCCCTCTTTCATTCCTTCACGGCCTTCCTGGGTTGTGTCCTTCCTTTCCGTCCTTCTTGGCATCCTGCCAGCCTTCCTCCCTTCCCCCTACCGCCTTCCTCCCTCCTCCCACTCCATGGAGCTTGGCATCAAGACTACGTCCTAACGTGGATCAGCCATCGTCTACCCGACGTCTTGTACTCTCATCCCGCTAAACGACTTCCAGCTGCCGAAGGGCAAGTGACTCAATGGCGCGCCCTACAACCTTCAACTCTGGAGTCTGCAAACCTGCGAAGCCAAAAGCCCCTCTTTTTATGACGGCATCTGTGATGTGACGCAAAGCGATTCCGAGGCATCGGGAGGACGGGCTTGTGAAGCAGCGAATCGCAGCTTGTCCAATCATGCTGTAAACATGCCCGGGCCCTTGTCAGAACACTTAAAGGTCCCGCAACCCCGACTCCGAGCCACCAAGGGCTTCACTGGTCCCTGGGTGCTGGGTCTGCTCTAGGAGACTTTTGGCTGCCAACCAGCATTCCTGCCAGTCTCTCGGACGCTGCAGACCCACGGGTAAGTCTTTGTACCCAGCTGTGCGGCAAGCCTCCTCGCCTGAAAGGCCGGCTCAATACCCCAACCCCCTGGCATCCTACCAACTCAAAGTCCCTCAACCCTACACATGAATATCCATCAATGCCTTCCCATCAGCTGCGGAGGGCCGTGACGTTTGCTCGGAGCATCTTCGAGGCATTTGCCCACATCTCGAATGCCTGGGCCTGGGAACCGCCAAGAAAAACCAAGTGGTGGAGGCCTTCAAGGTGGGTTTAGCGTTTAGGGTTTAAAGGGTTAAAGGGTTTAAAGGGTTTAGGGTTTAGGGTTTAAAGGGTTTAGAAAGGGTTGTGGAGGGAGCTTTAGCTGGAGCCGAGCACGTCCCATTGCAGAACCTGCTTCTCCAAAGGTTCACAGGGGTCTACACCAGTTGGCAGAAAAAATGTACACTGTCCCCGGTAATTTCATCCGGCCCCAAGTAGATCCACATGCCCCGGTCTTTTACCCGGATAAACCCTAAACCCTAAACCCTAAACCCTAAACCAACTCATCGTCCTGAGCCCGCCATCCTATGCCTTTAGACCTCTGGGGTCCAAACGTTGTCCATGGGGTTGTACCAGAGGGTGAAGGAGAGGGCTACGTACCTGGCAACGAGGAAGTCTGTGCACGTTTGAGGCTACATTGAGCCTACTCAGGTATTTAGGAACTGTTTTAGGTATATATGGGGCTGTGTAGGGGAAAAAAATTAAGGGCCCGGGCTTTTATGGATTTTACAGACAGCTCAGCAGGTCACGGTTCAGAGTTTCAGGGGGCGTGACCGCAACGGACTCTGCGTGCTTCTCTGCTCAAGTACGGTCGGCGCTAGATAACGGAGCGACTGTTCTGTGATTTGCGGAGCTTCGGAAGTTCCACCGGTTTAGGGTTTAGGGTTAAGGGTGGGAAGTACATCAGCTCATGACGACGCAGCGTTCCGAATGCTAAGGTCGGGGGGGAGCAGAGGTCGTGGCATCGGGTGGGGGGGCACATGCCGACGACCAGCAGAACCAGCAGCACTGGGCAGGTCACGTCCGGATCTGAGAATGGTGGCAAAAGTTGGATTAGAGGCTTGCCAACGAGACTGCAACCAACATTCATCACCTCTGAAGCCTTGTCTCCTGTCTTCCTCTTCTCTTATTCTGATCCATGTTTTCCTTCCTGCCTTGCACGAATTTGATTTTGGGAGTAGATCCCCTCCCCCCGGTGCGGCCGCGCACCCGGTGGATGCGGTCCACAGTGCGACAAAGAAATGACACGCGGCTCACCCCGAAGTCCGCTCCTTCCCCTCAACCTATCTCCCGAAAGCCTCCTCAATTCGCCGCACGAATGCTACGCACTCTCTTCCGTCCTTCCTTCGAGCATGCTTGTCGACGTGCCACCCCGATGGGCGCATGCACTTTATGCCTTTCTTCTGCATTTCTTTCTTTCTTGTCTTTTCTCGTTATTTCTTTCTTCTTCTTCTTCTTTCTTTCATGAGGCTTTAGGGGGGTGGACCCCAACACGAGTGGTGCACCTCTTTCCCATTCTTTCTTCTTCTCTCAGTGACTTTCTTTCTTCTCTTGCCCACTCACTCACTCACTGACTCACTCACTCGCTCTCTCTCTCGCTCTCTCTCTCTCTCTCTCTCTCTTTTCCGTTCTTCCTTCCTTCCTTCCTTCTGCACCCGTGCCCCCCCCCCCTTTGAGGAGGGCCGCCCGACGGCTCTTTTTTTCCTCTCCCTCTGCAAGCCCAACCCTCTAAAAGGCTCTCCCCGAGGCGAGGTAAGTGAGACCAACTGGAAGGTACCCCGTACTGTGTCTGCCCTACCCACCCTAGTTTCAGGTTGCCTGCCCACCTTCTCCCGAAAATGATCTCTTTCTGCCTCCCTCCCCCCTCCCTCCCGCTTCTTCCAACGCCTACCAGCCAGGTCCCAGCCCATGTTCGAGAATCGCCTACGAAGGGTTTCTGAAAGGTCAGCTCCCTATGACGTCGTCACTACCTTGTGTGCCGCCAAAACTTTGCTGAGAATGGAGCCTTTGAGAAGCGAGCAGCAAAGCAATGAGATAACTGGAAAACCTGAATTCGCCCGACCTTTTCGGCACGCGATGAAGAACCGGTGCAAGCTGTTCAGCTTGTCTGCATGCCAGCTTGCAGTAAGATCCCTGCATCTCCAGCAGAGGTATATCAGCGCGCCTGGCCACGAGACTTGAGACGGTCCCGGACACAAGCCAGCGGAAACACGCGAGGAAGCAAGCCCGAGCCCTGTATGCAGGAGGTAACTGAGAGCCTATTCATTGGGAACCTTTGAGAGCTGGAAAAGTCGAACCAAGAGCCCCTCAAAAGCATCTTTCGGGGTCTGTGCCTCTAAGGGAATCTTCAAGCATTTACGGTCTAGGGGTTGCCAGACAACCTTTATGCCTATCCACAGATTCCTCGACCCCAAGGGCCACGTGCACTTACGTTCCACGACCACGTGCACTTGCGAGGTCGCGCCCATTCGGTCATGTGTTTTGCCACAAAACGGAACCCGAAAACTCCAATACTCAAATCTCTAAACCCTGCAATACAGATAAGCGAAGCACATGCGACAAAAACCGCGAGCTCCACTTCCCACAGTGAGGACGCCCGTGCATTCCAACACTGGCCTGAGTTTCGGGGCCCATCGCCAGAGACGTTGGTGGTCTACTCTAGGGGCCTGTAGGGTTTTTGGGTTGCTTCTTGTAGTGTTATCATATAGGGACCACAAGGGAACTCCAGTAGCAATTCTTCCGACCCCTCTATGAGGCTTTGGACCTTGGGAGGGCACGGGCTTTTTTGGACTTCGGGGTGGCAAGTGGTGGCCCATCGCTGGCGTATCTGCTTTCAAGGTCGAGGGCTGTTGTTTCACGCCTCGATATTTAGAGCTTCTGGGCATATAAATTCTATACCCAGACCAACCTAACCGCTGCTTGCGAAGGTTTGGGCTTCAAAGCGCTGATCTCAGAGTCAGAGCTCCGTTTTCGGACAAGGCTCCGAACCTTCTGAGAGCCCCCACGGTGGCACGAAGTCTGCAACGAAAAGCAAAGGCTTTGCGAAGTACTCCAGGACCTGATCCAGAAAGGGACAGGGTTTGGGATTCACTAAGGCTTCTTTCATCTAGACTCTAGACAAAGATTGAGAGATCCGGTACAGCACGAAAGCCACACGCAGTGACCATCGACAGGTAGATAATTCTACGAAAATGCTCAAGGAGGACAGGCCGCGCAAAGGACAGGCCGTGCCTTCAGCAGCACTTTTAGCACGGCAAGAAGAGGTCCTCGAAGCAGCACGACTGCCACCTTTGCTGCAGTTCTCCGGTTGCAAGCGCTGGGTGCACAAACGCAACGTCCGCTTCAGATGGTTTTGGGATCTAGGTCGGGGGGGACTTCATGTCTGCGGAACTGGGGGTTCGTGAACTTGACTGCGAGGGTTCCCTGACCTCCTTAACAAAAGCACAATGCCGAAACCCTAAACTTGGCATGTTCCCCTATTAAGGACTGCTAGTATAAGGGGAACATCCCAATCCTACCACCCTTAACTGATAGGTTGTCGATGTGGTGATGGTTCACCAGTACTCGCAAGTGCTGCTCCGTTGTTCGCAGGTCTTCAAGAGATGCGTGTTCAAACAAGCGACAGAGGCATCTCTTCACGCACACACGATACGACTCCGATAACGGACGGTACGTGATGACCAGTAAGTCAAACCCAACTTGATCCTCTTAAACCCAATATGGGGAAATATAAATGTCCCAAGGCCCTACCTAGACTAGTCTTCAAGACAACGTATTCAAGAGAACCTCTTCTTGAGCCTACAACGCACCTGGAGTCAAAGCCGAACCTAAACCTTGCCGTTGGTTAGGAGGGAATGAGGGAATGAGGTTCCCTGTATAATCCCCTAAACGGTATACACAGGGGATGTAAGGTGCCTCATTCCCTCATTCCCTACTCACCAACAGTAAGAAACTCAGGTGAGCCGCTACGAAGGCGGCAAAGCCCAGGAAGAGGCTGCGCCGGCCCTGATTGCAAAACCGCCCCGAGGAAGTCATTCATTGGGATGTTCCCCCTTAGACTAACAGTCCTGTATAGGGATTATAAAAAGGGAACCATAATCCCTATGAATCAATAAGGACTGTCAGTATAAGGGGAAGAGTATCCCTAAAACCCTAAACCCTAAACCCATGGGGGCACCATAATCCCCATAAAGGACTGTGAGTAGTAGTAGTAGTAGTAGTAGTAGTAGTAGTAGTAGTAGTAGTAGTAGTAGTAGTAGTAGTAGTAGTAGTAGTAGTAGTAGTAGTAGTATAAGGGGGGAATATCCCAAGTCATTCATCATGACTCAGTCTCCACGAGAGCCTCCTCACTTCGCAGGGAGGCGGCCAGGGACCGGCAGCACCTGGTTTTAGGCACTTTTGGCATGGTCTCAGTGTACAAGAAAACTTTGGGTTTTGGGGTTTCGGGTTTAGGGTTTAGGGTTTGGGGTTTGGGGATTTAGGGTTTAGGGTTTAGGGTTTAGGGTTTAGGGTTTAGGGTTTAGGGTTTAGGGTTTAGGGTTTAGGGTTTAGGGGTAGAGAGGGGGCAACCAACCAGGCACTCACCCAATGCGAGCGCCGGGCGAAGCGCAGAGAGGGCACGGATCCTGAATCTCTCGGCTAGAGGAGTTACTCGGGGGCCACTATAGGCAAACTGCCTGGGGATGCTGCGAGTCGGCGAGGGTTCGGCACCCCCAGCCAAAGGGCTCTGCGTGGAGGCTTATTATCATCATTCTTCTTTTACTAAGTTTACTATTATCATTTCTATTATTTTTCGGATAATTATGATTATCATTGCTAGTTCTGATTATTGGCATCCCAGAGCCGCATTTCTTGTGAAAGCCCAGTCCTCAGACAGGCGCGTGTAAGCGGCGCCCTCCTCGCCATCCTCAAAGCGGGACGCTGGGCTTCTGAGTGACCCTAAACCCTAAACCCTAAACCCTAAACCTCTGAGAGTTTTAAGTCTCAGAACTTGGCAGAGGGTCATATGGGGTACTCAGCGCCTAGGGACGTAATCTCAGAAAGGCAGGAAGGCCATCCCGAACATCAAAACACAAAACAGGTCCCAGGGCGCTGGCTCTCGACCTCAGGGTACACCCCAGCACCCCCTTTCGGCAACAGCTCGGCTGGCACTGCACTTCGGGCATAGAGAGATTAACAGAAGAGGGAGTGCTGAAGAGCACCCCACCTGGTCGCCATGGCACGCGGAGCCTCAGGGAGTGCGCGATTCGGGTCCCGCTTGGTCATCACAGCATTGTGGCAGCACCGCTTGCTCATGCACAAGCTGGGATGCCGGACGAGGACCCAGTGGGGATCAACTCGCGTCACAGCGGCAATGGCTCAGGGGTAAGCTGATGAACATAAAATCTTGCATGCCCACACTCCCTCGTCTTCGTGCTACGTACCGAAGCTTCTCAAGTACAACACAAAGCTGACTTCATGCAGCATCTAGGCTCTCTGATCTGCATGTAGCGGGGCACAAGCTCTGGCTTAGCTCAAGAAACCACTTGAGTCTCAGTCATAAGCTCGCAAGCGACATGAGAATTGCGGATATAGGGGCCTGGGATCCATGGGAGATACTGGTGGCCAAAAAAACCGGCGAGGACTTCCAGTGGGACAATTCCCAAATATGCCCCCCTCACATCCCCTCACAGCCCAAGCCCTGCACCTTGAAGCCCTGCACTCCGAAGACATGGGTGTTTAAAAACCCTAGCAGCAGAGGCTTTTGCAAAAAGAGGCTTCTTTAATCCTATTGTGCTAGGGGTGTTTAAAGACGATCTCCTGCGTTTTCGTCTTGCTCAGCAGCTCCTAACAATCTACTTGGTGAGAATCCTCCCAGGGCAAGATGTGTCTTCGCCCGTAGAATCCATGGCCTTCGGCGAAGACTCTGCTTGGCGTGGGTGTCTGGGCGTTGCTCTGAAAAGTACACAACTCTGGCTCGGCATATCGCAAGGGAAAATTGGCGAGGGCTTGTCAGGAATCATTGCCCCAGGAACAGCGGCCACGAGGCCGTAAGCAAGCAATTCTCTGCAAACGCCTTTGTACACGGCGGGCGAAGATGAGCCGCAGCCGTCCGGCCAAGAACATGGGGCACATGGAGCGAAGCCTCCATTCCTATTTTTTGCAGGCATCATGGGCCAGAAAACCCAAAATCCAACACCCTGAGAACTTGCCCCCTGGATCCCCCAAGCAGGGTCCTGCTCCTGGCCGGCTGGTGAGCTCCCCCAAGCCCAGGCTGGAAGCGACCCAGGCCGAAAAGAACAGGCTGTAGACTTTAGACGCATCGTGAAGTCCCCAAGTGCGAGACCTGAGTTCTAGGTGACCTGCCAAGCCTTTGAAGCCTTTGCCTCGAAAGAGGTTACCGTCCAGGAGCCTGTTCTAGCGCTCGCTGTACATCCTCTAGCAGGACGCGGAAGACCTGCACAGGACAGAAGTGACTACAAAACACTCATCACAAGAGGACGCGCAAGTTGCACGACAATTTGAGCGATGGAGCGCTTCTGTTAATGAAGCCCGTTTTAACAGCTTGGAGCGCAGGACGCATCTTATCAGGCCATCAAGGCCGCCAAGAGATATGTGTGCCGTTCCCACATTTCTCGAGAAGTGCGACAGCTAACGCCCCATCCCCTACCAAGGCGTCGGCAGGTGCAAGAACGCACTGCACAGACACACCCTCATGGGTGGCCAACAGCCACAGCCTCAAGCTTAGAGGTTTAGAACTTCTCTGTTGGCCTGACGTGCGCTCAAGCCCTCCCTGCAAACCTTGGAACCAAACAACATCAGATCGCCAGAACAACATCAACAAAGTCCCTCTCTCCCCCCAGGCCGGGGACTAAACCAAACCCATTTCGACACCGCCTCTCCGGACCTTTGTTCCGGCCAGGGGCGGTTGCGCAGCCGGCTGCGCCTAAGAGAATTGCTGGATGGGGGGGGAGGGTAGGAGGAGGAGGGGGGTGGGAGGGGGAGCGAGGGGGAGCGAGTGCGTAAGCACTCATTCACACTGGCATGTCGAGTTGCCTTTGTCCTTCTTTCTGGGCTTTAAAATTCACAGCTTCAGGCTTGATGAAGTTCAGGGCGCGTGTCGAGCCTGAGGATTGGAGAATTTGGGTTTTCGTGCTTTTGGGCTTAGAGGGTCTCAGTTGATTTCTGAAATTCGGGGATTGCCTTCTCTACTCTTGCGCTTACTTGCACGATCTTTCCGGCTACGGCCGCAGTCCTGTCTGCATTCTGGAAATGCTCAAAGGTCAGGGTTTGCCGTAGAGATGAGAGCTGAGAGTCTAGGAGTTCTTCAAGCGAATCGTCACACTACGCCGTGCATTGAACTACGCCCCTAGACCCTACCCCCCCGAAGCCCAGACCCCAGACCACGCAACGCGGGAGCCTAAATTGTGCACCGCTCTTGAGACGTATGGACTTCCTTCTAACCCTAAACCCGGTTCAAAACTCGAACACCCTGAAGCCTTCAGAGCTCATGGCTGGGTCACGTCACAACGCCAAATGGGGTTTCCAAAATTGGAGGGTTTAGGGTTCAGGGTTTAGGGTTCAGGGTTTAGGGTTTAGGGTTTAGGGTTTCGGGTTTAGGGTTTAGGGTTTCGGGTTTAGGGTTTAGGGTTTAGGGTCTAGGGTCTAGGGTCCAGGATTTAGGATTTAGGGTTTAGGGTTTAGGGTTTAGGGTTTAGGGTGGGCTCACATTCCACGTGGCAAGCTGGACTGGGTGCTTTTTGTGAATGGCATCCTTCTCAGGATTCCTGGTGCCATCGCCGCTGCCCTGGCAATGTGATGTAGGCCCGCGACGAACGCGAAGACCTCCACCGAGAGCGGGCTTGATGTGTTGCTCAGTAGCGACGACAAGGCCAAACTGCGCCCCATCGAGGGCTCAACGCAGCATCGTTCGATTCCTGCAAACTCCTGAGCAAGTCACCACGAACCACGCTCGCCAATCTGTCACTGGTGTTACAGGCTGTGGTCCGCTGAAAAGCAACACTGAGCTCGGGCGAAAAGTTCATGGCAAACTCCACGAAGGACACGAAAGACGAGCTCTGCCGGCTGGCGTCTGACATGCTGCGGGATGCTCAAGATTGTGCTTTTTCTGGTGCCATTTCTTGTGCTGAGCACGAAGCAATGACACCACCCTCCTGGGGTCCTGATTGTATTTGGGGAGGGGTCCCCTATTTTCGTAAACCGTGAAGGAAGACCGACAAGTTGTGCGGCCACAGTAGCCCATAGGGGCAAAGCGCTAAAGCGCTGCAAAAAAGAGTATTCTCTTAGACGAAATGCCATGCTCGTAGCCGGCATGCAGTGATCTTGATCTTGCCTGGATCGACTCAACTCCTGCTTCAACAACTGGGGGCAACTTCCGAAGTGCTTAGAAACAAAACTGACATTCCAAGACTTCAACAAGGCTCCAGATCTTCTCGTGCATAAAAGTCCTCCCCCCCAAGACCCAACTGCTAAAGTTTCCAAGTCCTGGCCACCCTTTCACCCCCATCCCGCCCCACCGGCGAAACCCTACCGAACTCATGCCAGCCAAGAGGCGCAACGAGGGTGGCGATCTGCAGCGGTGGCTTCGACAGTTTGAGGAGGACTTTTTTGGTCTCCGGGCTTCCTTCGGAGAAGTATGAAAGTGCCGAAGCCCTTCAGCCCTTGCGCGGCTTGAAACTCAAATCTTCTCAGACGGCCCTACATAAATCCCTGTACCCCTCGAAGCCCTCAAACGTCAGTCCACCCCCTCAACCCGGCACCCCACCAAACTAGGGACCCAAAACATTTGAAGTACTCGGAGGATGAGGGGAAGGGCCGGCCGGAATTGCATCACAACGTAGGGCCCTTCCAACTCCCAATCTCAAGTACCCATCCACCGTAAGTAGACCCACTGTAGACCCCAAACCCTGATCTCCAAACATCCCGAAGTTGGGATGTTCCCCCTTATACCAAAAGTCCTGAATAGGGATCATAGTCGCCCCCTAATAGAATCCCTATTAAGGACTGTGAGTAGAAGGGGGAACATCCCAATCCCTAAGCCCCTAAGGCGAGCGCCCCAAATCGCCGAACCCCAAACCCTAAACCGAAACCCTAAACCCCAAACCCTAAACCCTAAACCCCAAACCCTAAACCCTAAACTTAAAAGTCGGGGCGAAGGCCTGGCGTGTCAGCGCCGACTCGGCGCCGGCCAAGTTCGGCGACGCCTCGCGGAGGGGGGGATCTTTAGGGTTTAGGGTTTCGGGTTTCGGGTTTAGGGTTTAGGGTTTAGGGTTTAGGGTTTAGGGTTTAGGGTTTAGGGTTTAGGGTTTAGGGTTTAGGGTTTAGCCCTTTAAACGGTTTAGGGTTTAGCCCTTTAAACGCTGGGCAGAGCTGTCCGAAACCCGGCCTCCACCACAGCCTGCACCATGCCAGCTGGGACGAGGGGCGGCGCACCTGCCAACACCCCGCCTCCCCTTTTCCCGCTGGTTCTCAGTCGGGAATGAGGGAGTTGGGGCCCTATATATATATATATATATATATATATGAGCATATATATATATATGTAGATACCCTTCAAGGGATTACATAGGCTACTCATTCAGCCCACATACTTTAGCAGATCTGGGAGGCATCTGACAGGTGACCCCCAATGTAAGCTCCACTTATGATAAGGACCCCAATAAGGCAACCCCCTCGTTTCGGAAAACCCCCCCATGTGGAGTACGAGTATTCGGACTCCTTCTTGCCCCCGCCAAAGCGGTGCCGCTGCAATGCACTGCAAGCTCTGCGAGGCCTCGAGAGTCGCCGTAGGTGCCCTCAATGACTGTGCGGTGCCTGGGCACGTTGCCGGCAAGCGGTCGCGGCCGAGGACTCCGGCCTTCATAGCTATAGTTGCAGCATCCTTATGGTTGCGCTCGGCCACTGGATCTGAAGGGCCCGAACACTCCTCGCGTAGGGCGACTCATCGCACTTCTCCTGACCTAAAAAGCGCCCACAAGCCCAAGCCCGTGACCTGTACCCTCAAATCTCGAACTCTAAAACCCGTCCTTCCAAAGAAGCCTCAAGGGCCCTAACCCCCTGCAAAGCAGAACTTGACCAGTAACATCCTGTAGCTTGCAGCCCACCACAAACCTTGAACCCGAGACCCTACGTCGCCAAAGATTCTCGGGCCCCGGCTCCAGCACCAGGTGCGCGGCGGAGGCGGCGCCACCTTCGGGAAAGGGCTTAGGGTTTGGAGG